GAAAAGAAAATTAGAACATTATGAGCAAATCATTATGGAATTACCATCGTATGTCCAAAAAACATTGCAATACCATGGCACTTTTTGATAGTTTTTTTTGTGCAGGGTTTTTAAATTAATACACTAGCTACTTTTGAACAGAATTAACAAACACAGCCTGCAGAGAGAAAAAAAACTTACCAAACTAAAAATTCAAAAGTGCAGCATGGCCAAATAAATTCAATTAGTCTTGGTCTTTTTTTCTTTTGAGGCCTTTCACAATATACACACAAAATAGAAAGAAAGTCCCTAGGACATGAAACCCAGCACCTCCACACTTTAAAACAAATGTCTTTTATTTGCTGAGCTACTTTTTTTAACGGATTTAAATGCTACACCCTACAGCAAAAAAAAAGTCTCAAATGTGCTTATGTTTTATGATAGAGCAGCTGCTCCATTAACAAAGCAGGGGGTAAACAAGACTTGTTCCATTTGACTACATGTCACTGCTCCTCTTGGGCCTCACAATTTTGTATCCAAGCAACCGACTGCTCAACAGAGCGCAACTTCGCCAAAGGGAGGCAGATCAGCTTTGAGGAGGGACATTAAACTCCTCTGACAGCTCCTGTGGCACTGTGAAATGCTGTTCTTTTGAGACTGCCAGTAACAGGTCTGACACATTTCTACACTGGCATGATTTTACACAGATCTCAATCTCCCATCACCCTCACAGGAACTTCAGGGCCCAGTTATGGAGCAAGTAACCAGTCCTGTGGCTGGTTGCATAAACTCCTTACACAAGTCTTAAAAGTTATTCATCTATTTTTTTCTGCAAGACTGGTTATACCTTTTTTTAAATTATATAAAATCATAGACTGGTATAATTTGAATCCAAAAAGTCTAAACATAGTGAGGCCCTGGATTCCCACACCTTATGTCTGTAATGATGCCCACTGTGGGCACTTTATCGCTTTCTCATACAGACTTACATAAAGGTTCCAGCACAGTTGCGTCATGTTTTAGTAGACATCATAAATAGGTGACATTATAAGTGCATTACCGGCACCTATCTCTCAAGTGGACCATTGACACTCTACAATCTCAATTAGGAGTGTCAATGGTCCACTGGAGAGATAGGTGGCGGTAATGCACTTATAAGTCTGCGATCCACAGTACAGCAAGACGACGACGACGCCTCACGCGCCTGCTGTTGAGAACGCACTCAAGAGGATGCGCGCAGCTCAGGACAGTTCAAACAGTTCGGACATTGCGTGAATCAGAGTTAAAAAACAATATAAATACTGTTCAGTTTCTTACACAGACCGATCGTTTTGTGTCTTTACACATCGTCACGAGCCGCAGGGTTTCATTTGGTTTTGTTTGTGTATGTTTTTTTTTTGTTTTATTGTATGTTTTAGCCGTGATAACCGTTCAGCTCCATTATAAGACTGACAGACTGCAACGGTTTGTGTTAAAAATCTTAAAATTTGTGTTCTACTGAAGAAACAAAGTCACCTACATCTTGGATGCCCTGGGGGTAAGCAGATAGACATCAAATTTTCATTTTTGGGTGAACTATCCCTTTAACATATCTATATTTTATTATCAATTTCATATTGTTAATGTGCAATCAAAAATCACTGGAGTGCTGCAGAATTAATGGTCTCGAAAAATGTTAAAACTTCTTTTAATACAATGCTCATGACGTGAGGCACAGAAAAAAAACAGCAATAAATTACCTCCATCTGCCAAGTAAACAGTTAAAATGAACAGCTGGAATGTGAGAATCCTCACATCAACAGCCTTCAATATATCAGTTTTTTATTATTCATGAAACAATGAATACGGAAAATTAAATATTGTTAATGCAGATGATTCATATTGAAACAAGCTCACAAAGCATAAAAAACAATGCTAACAAACAATGTCACAAACTTCTATAGTTATTATTAGCCAATAACACTATGCCAATATACTGTGCACCACTAGTTAAATAACTTTGAGAAAAATTGGAAGTCAAAGGTAAGAATTATGCAGACATCTGCTTCAAGGAACAAGCCCGTTTAAGTCAGGCCTTCCAAACTTGCAAGTGGCACCTGTCGTTTCCCATGGGAATCTACTCTGTACTTCATTTCGCACCTGTGTGACTCTCCAACACCTCCAATGCACATCTAACAGCCTGCCAGCAGACGCCTCCTCATCTCTGCTCCTGGGCTGAATGCATTTCTTCCATATTTACTGATTCACTTGGCAATCAATCTCTAAAACAGGTCCCAGCAGGGCAGCAAATCCAACTTCTCTTGCACGCAAAGATAAGAGGCTAGTGTGCCAGAAGTGTTCCCAAGATAAGCCACATTTCCTCCAGAGCTTTGTTCAAGCTAACCTCCAAGAGACAAGTTCAGTATCATTCATGATATTTTCCATATTCATTTCTATTCGGTCCTCAAATTTACGATTTATAGTCACTCATGTTTGCTTTACTAAAACAAAACAAGGAGTTCATGCTAATTTAATGACATATGGCACATGAATTGAACATGAACATCCACATATAAAACCCTTCATGTTTATTGTCTTCATTTCTCAAGGCTATTCTGTACAATGAGGAGAGGGGGGGGGGGGGGGGGGGGTTTACAGACAGTGGTTTACAGACCACTACAAAAATGATGCTAAGCAGTAAACTTGTCCAATTTTATGACAATCTCTAAATATGCTTTCTTGTCCTTGGAAGATACCGTACTTGGAAGTCACCATGCAATTATTTGGGTTGTGCTAGCCTAGCATATTTGCTATGAAACTAAACAGGAAAGCCCACTCCCTTTTTCTTTCTAGCTAAGTCTAAAGGATAGTTTTGACAGATTTTACAGTAACATTTATTCAAGTTCAGAAGAACATATTCACATTTCAGTTTCTGAAGGCACGTCTTCATGTCAATCTCCCAAATTTAACATTTCAATTCTTTTCACAACTTCCCACAATCTTTGAAGTAAATGCTGATCAACTACCAATTACATCATCCAAAATAATGGTACTTTGTTCATTGGATCACTTGGTAAGGGCACAAAATAAAGAAGACAGAAGCAAGTTGCCTTCTAAAATTCATCCACAGAGAAACTGAGAAGAGAAAGCAGCAGAGGCGGGAACGGCCTGTCTGCTCTAGTTGAACATCAAACGTGGCTTTTCCAGCCAGACTTCGCCTGAACATCCGTTGAGAAGAGAGAGAGAGACTCTAAACAATACCCAGATAACATACTGAATCATAAACCAGTGGACACTTTGATTTCTTATAAGGCCATGAGAGCTGAGGAGCAGTCAGATTCAAAAAGCTGAACTAGCGCTGGGCGATATGGCCAAAAAATCATCACGATATATATTTTTTCCCCATATCAGTCGATATCGATAATTATCACAATAAACGTAACATTTTTATTTCTTTCAAGTTTAAAGGCAGATTTTTGCTCCAATGTGAAAGTTGTAAAAACCAGGGCCCGTATTCATGAAAAGTCTTTGTGCAAAGAGTTGCTCCTAGTAACAAAATTCTAAAAAAATTCTTAGAAATGTGGGTGTTTCCTCTTAAAATTAAAGAAAAGATCCTACATTAACTATGGCCACGTTCACACTGTCCGTTTTAGGTATTTACAACAGCATTTCCTTACAGTCTCGAAACGTCCCGTTCAAACAGCAGCTTACTGCACAGTAGCGTCTCGAATACTGTCTGTATCAACGTGCAATTAGAGTCAAGTCTGTATATGCAATCGCGTCCTTTTCTGCATCTCGCGCATGACACTGAATTTGAGTCACGCACAGAACACAAAACTGACGGATCTAAAACCTTCAGATGATGCACAGCTTATTTCTCAGTCGCTGTAACTCACCCAGAGTGAAACCGCAGGAGCGGCTCTCTTGCACAGTACTACAAGTTGTCCAGTTCATACAGCGCGTTTTCTGAGAATGCAGTTGTGAGTCCTGAAAATAGACGGGTGCGAGTTCGGTTATAGAATGCAGTTGTCACTCCCGTAAATAACTGTATTGGTGTGAACGTAACCATGTTAAGGACTCAAATACAGGACTGACAACCATATTCTGCTGCTGTGTGAACGTGGCTGTACATTAACATATTTGGCAATTGGAAAAATGCAACTTTGCAGCAGTGATGATTTTGGTCTGTCATAATTACATAGACCGCAAACATTCGCGCACCGAAAATGCGAATGTTTTTTTTCCAACCAGTCCGACGAATCTTTTCAGTTTCGCAACGCGAAAACACGGGCCGTCCAATAAGATTTGAGCTAGGATCACATGACCGGAGCGGCTGCTGTTGCACAAAAGGGTGAGTATGGTGGCGCGGTTTCGAAAACCAGTGTAAACAAACACCGAAGAAGAGTATCCCGGATAAGAGAGTGGATGCTGAGTTCTTGTTACCATTGGTATTTGAGAACAGATATATTCTCACATGTTCTTTACACAGAATAACTTTTCAAATAATTCTCCACTGAATTATGTGACCTGTTTTTCCAACCAGTCCGACGAATCTTTTCAGTTTCGCAACGCGAAAACACGGGCCGTCCAATAAGATTTGAGCTAGGATCACATGACCGGAGCGGCTGCTGTTGCACAAAAGGGTGAGTATGGTGGCGCGGTTTCGAAAACCAGTGTAAACAAACACCGAAGAAGAGTATCCCGGATAAGAGAGTGGATGCTGAGTTCTTGTTACCATTGGTATTTGAGAACAGATTTATTCTCACATGTCCTTTACACAGAATAACTTTTCAAATAATTCTCCACTGAATTATGTGACCTGTACACTGTAAACCCGAACAGTACTACTAACTTATAAAGATTAAGAACACTGCAATTAAAGTCTGTTAAATCGTTGATGCAACTTATAACAATTGCATTTTCTGAACGAGGAATTTCGTTTTATTTTTGTGTGGCTCAACATTTTTGAGTAAACTCTTCTATTTAAATTATTATTTTTAAGTTTACTGAGTGATATAATGTGACGTCACCTCGTTGCTCTAACCGACGTTCAGAAGAATCCATTCAACATGGCGGAGACTCGCAAGCGACCGGAGCAAACTTAATGGAACAACTTGTAAGCAAATCAAAACAACTGTGAAAATGTCTTATTTGCTTTTTGAGTGTTGTAAGGATATCATGATAAAGGAATGTTTTCATTTTTGGGAAATGCTGTTTTTACACAGCGCTGTAAAGCGCGGCATTTCCCTAGTGCTTTTGAATGCGCATTTTGAATGCTATTTAAGCGTCACTGCTTATAGCCATACAATGCTTTTTTTGTGAAATGCCCTGGTAAATGTGATTTTTATTTGGTCTGTTTTTTTAAACAACTAGCTGCTAAGAGTATTAATCCAAAATTAGGTTAAAGCTAATACACAGACATGAATTTTGCAATATATTAATTTTACAAAAGCAATCTACAAACTTGTAGTAAACCTTTACAAACTTTCTTTAATTGCAGGCTGAGCTGGATGCTGAATACAAAAGAGTGAGCCTCAACACTTAAGGTAACTTCTATTCAGTTGAAGAGCAAGTTGTGTGATGTGTCCTCACATAACAGGACACAGACTCGGCTTTCTCTTTTCTACATCCATTGTTGGTTATACACTTACTTGTGCATGTTTGTGGTTGTCTAGGTTTGTGCTGACTCAACAAAAAAAAAATTGAGTTGCTTAATTCAATTTTTTGAGGTAATCGGTGTCCACAAAAAAAAAAAACATCTTCTGACTGTTTTGTTGAGGAGCTTTTACTACAAACTCTAACAAACAAACATTTCAAATCTCCAAAAAGCAGCACAATGAAAGTCTAGAAAATAGAACTAGAAATAACAAAAGAAAAACATGGAACAGCTTAAGGGAAGCACAAGGAAGGGTCATGAAGACTGGAGTAATGGTTGTTGAAAATGTGATTTTGCCATCACAGGAATACATTTCATTTTAAGATACGATATTTCACAATATTACAGTTTTTACTGTATTTCGATTAAACAATGAGCATCCCAAATGCACATGCTGTACAGTCCTTTGTCCTCCTGTATATAAACCTGCAGCTGAAGAATGGATTACAAAGCAACATCTCCTGCTTTCAAACACTTCACCACAAACAAAAGACTCCTGTCACCGGCAGCAGGCTTCGGCTACATCCCTTTGTGTTATTCCAACGATTACAGCTTCCTTGGTCAGCTATAAATAAATCACCATTCAAGCCTGGCCTGCATGACAAATGAGTGCCATTCACCCCACCTCAAACAGAATACATAGCTAGCCAAACATCTAGCCAATACAAAACCAATGCAAAAATCTCACCCTCACTTGTGGAGGCAACTCTCTAGAAAAAAAGTGATCCATTAAAAGGATTAAAATGTTATGAAATTTATGTCATTCAAGATGTTCATGTCTTTCTTTCTTTAGTCGAAAAGAAATTAGGGTTTTTGAGGAGAATTCCAGGATTTTTCTCCTTATAGTGGACTTCAATGGGGATCAACGGGTCCAAATTGAAGGTTTCAATGCAGCTTCAAAAGGGCTCCAACACAATCCCAGCTGAGAAATAAGGGTCTTATCTAACAAAACGATCGATCATTTTCTAAAAAAAAAAAAATGAATTTTTGTTAAGAAAAAAAAAAAGTGTAAACACTGGGTTGGTACTATCCGACCTTTCCAACGTGACTACGTAATAAGTGAAGTTGCGGATGCGTATTCCACAGCTAGTGCAAGACGAGCATTTATTGTTAAAAAGTATATCAAATTATTATTATTTTTTTTTAAATTACAGATCATTTGGCTAGATAAGACCCTTATTCCTAGGCTGGGATTGTGTAGAGCCCTTTGAAGGATACCTGTCAACCCTCCCGTTTTTCCCGGGATTCTCCCGTATTTTACCATTCTATCCCGTATTTCTCCCATATTTTTAATCTTTCTATAAAAAAATCCCACTGGGCATATTTTATATGTTTGTTACATTCGCCTCCGGTAAAACTTCCGTAATTTGTATGGCCCAAACGTCATTATATGAATAATCACGTCAACAAATTCCAAGGTTGCCCAGTTGCCAGATCTTGTATAAAACGCATCCTTCTCACACAATCGACACATACACATTTCAACCCATTTGTCCCCTCAACTTGGCAACCTACAACAGTGATGACTACCGCAGGAAGGAAAGGATAGAAATGGGACAGGAGGAGAAAACTCAGGTGGTGCTCCGGTGAAAAAAACAATATGCAAATTGAGATATAGCTTGCATTTCAAAAGGCTATGATTAAATATGAGTGCTGCAAGTTGCAAAATCAGGTGCTGCGCTGCTTTGTTTACAGGGGAAATGGCTATATTCCTGGCGAAACGCGAAATAATGAATTTGCATTTTTCAATAAGCCCTTCTGCTTTTCTTGTTTCTTGTGGTTACACCACATGTGTTGATAACAACCAAATTCCCTCATGTTGTATGTCATGAGGGACATACAACATGAACATCTCCCGTATTTTGGGACCCAAATGTTGACAGGTATGCCTTGAAGCTGCATTGTAACTGCAATTTGGACCTTCAACCCCCCCCTTTAACAAGTGCCAGTGACATTTCCTGTCAATCTGAACACCTCATTTTGGAAACCAATCAAAAAGCAAAGCTTACTAAAATGAGTAAAGGATGTAAACATCAATTGCCATCTTACTGTTGTGTTTCTGAGGAAATAAGGAAGATGAAGCGAGAAGAACAAGACCACATTTGTTCAGTTCTTCTATGCAAGTAGAAGTAAAGGAGTGTGTCCTAACTAGTAAAGCTACTAGTCTCATATAATATTAGACATATATGTCACCAATAAATCCTAAACTATTGACTACTGACTTTGGGATGATGGAACCGGATAGTTAAAAAATGCTTACTCATTTCCGGGTTTTAGGACTCATTTCTTTGGCCTTCTGCACTCTATTGTCTCAGTTTTTTTTCTGTCTTACTCAGCTTGGATCTCAGCTCCACCAATTAAAATGACCATTAATGCCTCCATTTACCAGTTTTCTTCAATGCTGTCTGCAACTCTATGATCCACCTGGGACAAAGAGCATCTGCTGGAGAAGACTAAGGCACGCTGATTCAGACAATTCTTCATGCGTGTAATTTCAGCAGTTGGACATGAACCAAGCTTTACTACCTTTTAATGAGCCTGCAAAAGGAAAAGGGCTAAACATAATGTGTTACTGTCAAATCATACCATGCATTCAGAAAGGGGCACGCTGACAATCCCACCTTACAAGCTGTAATGACTTACAATCAGTTTCTAAAAGTTCTGGTTGCTAGGATACATTGCTGCCAAAGAGGCTGGAAATGAGACTGACAGCAAGTCATGGAGAAAGAAAAGAGACTGAAATTAGATCAGGTTCCTTTTCATATCAGCCATGAGTCATGACACGCACCAGTCCAAAATAACATCACACCTGAGCATTGTTAGCAACAGATGCCATCTGGAAGAAGCCAAGAGATGCTGTCTGGTCTTAAAGAGACCGAAAATTGCTTCAAGATGATCTGTTAGCATTGCTTTTGACTGGGGGTTTAGACCAGGGTAGGGTTGCACCAGCTGTTCATAAGTTCATCCTTAAATTGGAACACAAAGTCCACTCTAGAGGATTAGTAACTACTAGCCAGTTTGTAACTAAATATGTAATCAATTTGGCTGCAAAGTGTTCTTAAAGGGATAGTTCACCCAAAAATGACAATTCTCACCCTTTCATATTCACATCTCAATAAATTAGAATGTCATAGAAAAGTTCATTTATTTCAGTAATTCAACTCAAATTGTGAAAATTGTGTATTAAATAAATTCAATGCACACAGACTGAAGTAGTTTAAGTCTTTGGTTCTTTTAATTGTGATGATTTTGGCTCACATTTAACAAAAACCCACCAATTAACTATCTCAACAAATTAGAATACTTCATAAGACCAATAAAAAAAAAACATTTTTAGTGAATTGTTGGCCTTCTGGAAAGTATGCTCATTTACTGTACATGTACTCAATACTTGGTAGGGGCTCCTTCTGCTTTCATTACTGCCTCAATTCGGCGTGGCATGGAGGTGATCAGTTTGTGGCACTGCTGAGGTGGTATGGAAGCCCAGGTTTCTTTGACAGTGGCCTTCAGCTCATCTGCATTTTTTGGTCTCTTGTTTCTCATTTTCCTCTTGACAATACCCCATAGATTCTCTATGGGGTTCAGGTCTGGCGAATTGTCACCATATTCTAATTTGTTGAGATAGTGAATTGGTGGGTTTTTGTTAAATGTGAGCCAAAATCATCACAATTAAAAGAACCAAAGACTTAAACTACTTCAGTCTGTGTGCATTGAATTTATTTAATACACGAGTTTCACAATTGAGTTAAATTACTGAAATAAATTAACTTTTCCACGACATTCTAATTTATTGAGATGCACCTGTACTAACCCTAAAATTGTTCTAAACATGTATGTTATTTCTACTGCTGAAAACAAAAGATATTAGAAATGTTGGTAACCAAACAGTTGACGGTAGCCATTGACTCCCATAGTGTTTTTTTTTTCAATACAATGAAAGTCAATGGTTACCGCCAACTAATGGGTTACCAACATTTTTGGATGAACTATCCCTTTAAGGCAGATGCACTATCACATAATATTACCTTTAAGGATCCAATAGCAGCCTTCAAATTTGTGAGTAATAGAAAGTTGTGGAAATGCTGTGAATTTCAATTTATTCTCTTAAGGTTGAATCTAACTTATTTTGCCTCATGTAACTTATGGTAAAAATAAATCTTTGCTGAAATATACTTAATCATGAAATAACATACTTTCAAATGTAAATAACATATCATCATATGTTTAAAGAATTAAAGTTTGTCAGGTAAAAAATGAGCTTTCTGATGCAATTCAATCCATATGATGTTTTATTTTAACCATTAATCCTGATCGGGCATTTCCCCAAACATTTATACACAAAGTTATGTTTCAACTAAGTTTAAAGGGATAGCCTAGTTGACCCAAAAAATGAAAAATTCTAAAATTCCTCAATTTGTCCCAAACCTGAATGATTTCCTTTTTCTGTTAAGCACAAAAAAATATATTTTGAAGAATGTGGGTAACCAAACAGTTGACAGTAGCCATTGACTTCCATAATATGGAAAAATATACTATGGAAGTCATTGGCTAGTAGTGTGTATGTTATAACTTAGTGCCAATTTACATCACAACTGGGATGATGCCGCAACCAACACATCGGTCTCAGTTTCTTCAATACTTTGATAGTTTTGTGTCTAAACACACATCAATTACCAAACATCAGTCACTGTGTCGCCAAAAGATTCTGTCTATATTAAACTACAGTTTTGAGATTCTTTGGATAAACTCTGCAGGTTTGTACTGCTCCAGAAAAATTTTATCATTACCAGGGCTTGCAAAATTAAAAAAATCCCTGGTAACCCTTCAGGCAGACACTCTTCAAATTTTGGTAGCCCGAAATAAATTTAACTAGCCCAAATTTAAAAAAAGAACATTTTTTATATAAGAATTTGGATAGGAGTCGAAATGACAATCAAAAACATTTTCAAAACACAAATATCAACGAAGGAATTTTATCTTTAACTATATATTCACAGGGTATCTGCAGAATTTTTAGGCTTTTTATGAC